ATATATATATATATATATATATATATATATATATATATATATATATATATATATTAACGAAGAGTTAGTTGTTTTATTTAATGTAAAATGAAATAAATTGATCCTTGAATTTCTTTTTCTTGAAAAGATTTGAAATTGTTCATTTGCAAATTGAGGGAAAATCTGGCCAACGGTTGTGTTATATAGGGTATAAAAAGTAATTACTGTTAGTCATCCATGACAAACTTTACCTATTATTGATGCCGTATGGCTTGATAGATCGTTTGTTGTAGTACATTCCTGATCATATTTAATGTATCAGTAATTTTAAATTGGGGCGGGGCACAAGTCCGTTCTTTTTTGCTGAAAAAACATTGATTTAATACTAGATATCAATTAGCGGTCCTCGAAATCATATGTGTTATGTCGCAACAATTTACGAAATGATGGGAGAAGATGGCAGAAAGGTATGATTTACACGTAGAATATGAAGTAGTTTACAGTGAAATTATTCGGTTCCTAGTAGACTGTCGGCAGTTGATCAGAACAGTATTTTGTTCGATGTTTAAATGTACTTCTTTTGCTGTTCTGATATCAATCTCATGATGTAGTAGACAGATAGAAAGCTTTCCAATCTGTGAAACACGAACCATGGCATATTGAAATGTCAGATGAAGTTTGATTTCTCTAGCTAAATTATTTTTACCCAATGGTATTTGGCATCACTGATTATATTGCATTAAAAAAAAAACTTGTTTTGTAAATTGTACTGCAGGTAATGGTAGATTGCCGGCGCTCACGTGGTGATGGAATTGAATTTAAACGAGCATTTTTGGATTTAAAACATAAATTGCGTGATGTTATATGTGAATCAGGTAATACATGGTTACGAAGGAAGGGTTTAGTAGTAATATCTTGATCAAGAACTCATTTTTTTCATTGCATAAAATATTTCTGTTCAAGAGATTGTAAGTTTAAGGGAATTCGGAGCTCCAGTTAATATCGATTTCACATTGTGATCAATCACAATTAGATGTGTTATATATATGTGTGTGTGTGTGTAGTGTGTATATATATATATATATATACGTATGTATTTGTGTATGTGTTTGTGTGTATGTGTGTGTGGTGTGTGTGTGAGTGTTTGTGTATGTGCATGTGTTGTGTGTGCATGTGTGTATATGTGTTATATGCGTATTTATGTATGTGTGTGTGTCTGTATGTCTGCATGTGTGTGTTTGCTTGTGTGTGTTTTAGAAGGCATTTCTTAAGTGTTCGGTGGTTGATATTATACATAAAGTTATTTTGTTTGTTATATTTTAGATTATTGTATTGTGAATGTCACATCTGTTTTGTGTCACTTTTTATTTTACAAATGTTGGCATGGCCAGAAATTATTTGTGTTTGATGGCACCCAATGAACTGATATTTTCTAAAATATAAATTTTATTCATTAATATAGTCCTATTTCAATTATGGTTTGATTAGAACCTATTCTGAAACGACTTAGTCTGCGAATTTTTCGTTTATTGTTCGAATAGTGGTATTTATGAATGAATTTTTTTCACATTCCCTATTATCCTTCAACGATTCAATTTAGGATTTTTTTACACTATCATGCCTTTTGCGCTTTTTTTTTTTTAGAATCCTGCTTATAGATTGGAAGGGAAGGAAAAAGGAATGAGGAATACGAGGCGTTTTTCACGGAAGCATGGGAACATTAAAACATATAAATGAATACAAATTTCTGGAATGTTCACTTATATTTATTGCCTAAAATCGAGCGATCTTTCATAATACTGCATGAAGTTTAATTTAGAAGCCTTAAGTTGGAAAGAAAAACTTGTCTGCGTCATTGAAAAAAATCTCCACCTGATTCATTTTTTTAGAGGGCTGTTACTTCTAGCCTAATTAGCCGAATGCAATTGCAACTAAAAGTTACTGTTAACTTTTCCTGCGATCGATTTCTAATTAAAACTAAAAAATTGTGACATTGGAATTTGGATAACTCAGAATTACAGTATTCAAGAATAAATTAATACTATTATAATATGAGGTTGAGGTCAATGAATTAGTAAGGAGTAGAGTGTTGGCAAAATTGAGCAAAAAGGGTCAAAAGTCTACTCTGCTCGATGACATTATCCTTATGTTTGCATTAAATGGTTATGGGATATGATGTTGGAGCTACATTTTAATCTAGGATCCAGTGATATGAAAAGAAGTAATTGGTATTTATTCGAATTTTTAAACAGCTGCACTTGATTTTGACTAACTGGGTTTGACCCTGAACCACTCAAATTCAGTTTGTCAACTATCAGGTTTTAGGTATTGCATGTGTTGAACAGTTCCTTTATTTCTCTTAATCGGTTAAATGAGCGAAGCTTTTCGTAGTCGATTTGACGGAAACGTTTTTTAGCTTAAGGCTTTCGAATTAAATTTCACTTAGCATTTTGCTATGTTCCACTCGGATTCGAGAAATAAATACAGGGATAAATTCAGGAATTATTTGTATCATTTATCTACATCTAAAACAAATATGGCGACCTCCAGAAGTGTCAAGAATTAATTTTAATAATGAAAGTGAATATATCTGCTGAATCCATTAAATTTATTTATTCTCAGTCTTTTGCCGATAGTTTCAATATAGAGGAGACTTAACTTCTCAGAAGCTCTAATTGGATGAGAAATGTAATATCAAACAAAACAATTCATCTTTCTTTATATTCACTCGGGGAAGATTCACTCTAATTCATTAATTTTACAGTTTGGCAATGACTTCAGACGAATTTTGAAATAATTTCATTTATAGATAGAAGAATTAGGCTTTTAAGAGTT